AACAGTCTCTTGGGTTCTGAGAGGGCTTTGAGACTGTCTGGATGTTTGGAGGTCTGAAGCCGTGCCGCATTTTTTACTTGCTGTGAACTTCGTTTCTATGCCGACACTGCAAGCATTCAAACTTTGCTGAACCTTGCAGGTTGAGCAGAAACCGCCGGACGAGTACCTCGTAGCTCGCTATGAGAAGGCAGCCCTGTTCCGTGCAGAGTTTGCCATGTTTCATGCAAGTCAGCATGGCAACAGGCTTCCACAATCAGCTCCAAGGTGAGACCAACTCTTCCCGAAGCACAATAAATAAGGCGCGAGGCAGCATTTTCACTTATGCAGCTAGTTGTGCATCTTCAACATGGTCCACACGATGTCACATACCATGTAGTATACGAGAGTTTGCAGAGCCTCGGAAAGCGCGCAGAGTCAGCATGCTATGTAAACATTTACGGTTTGGGTATGGTTTCCATTTTAGGGAACTCGGAACGGAGGTAGGATTCCGACCACGTTACATCAGGAATTCTGAAGGTAAGTAGGCCCGTCTCTGTTCCAAATGCTGCCGACATGCTGGTTATTATGCCATATACCACATTCAGTAGATCTTTGTGCCAGCAAAGCTACCCCTGCTGGAGACTCGTATTTTCGAGGAGAAATCGCTCATGACAGTCAGGTTGGCAGCTGGTGGTCACTAAACGAAGTCCTTATGGAGTGCCCGGCAGATGGCAGCCATGAAACGTAGAGGCTGAATCCGGCGAGACAGATTGTTGGGAGCATGGTGACCTGCGCAGCTGATTAGTTGAAATCTGAAGGATCCTGACCAGACCCCCGAACATTGCTCACGTAGCAGGGGCATGTGCGCATTATTGTCGAGCCAGTACCACCACCAAGGTCTGTTGGGACATTTCAAAGATGCCTCTAGAGCCTAAACAAGTACTGATCAATGGTAAGTAGAGTGAAGTAGAGGTTGTGTTGGTCGTGAGCACGCTAGCAGCAACGGAAACGAATGCAATGCCGCGTCTATTCGAATTCAGGGATGTGCTCTCTCGACTTCTTTTCGCGGCCTCGTTGGCGGCGCCACTGCAAACCAGGCACCTCGCTGAAATCTTCTGAACCCTGCGTGCAGGAGGGTTCAGTCCAGTCGGTCGCAGTTTTCCACGATCGCGACCCTGCCCGCTCTGAGCACGAATCCAAAGCGAAGGCCCGGAACTGACTAAGTTATGTTGTGGGTTTCGGGTGTTTCTTTTTGTTTGCAATCGGGGTTTTGAGTTTTGGAAACTGTGATGATGCCGTGGTTCCTACAACAAAGAAAGGAGATCAAAAGATGGAGATATGTCAGGGTTTGATGTTCTGAAGGTTTGCATAGGATGGGGTATGACGGAGCCTGGCCACATGGTCTGAGTTCAGGATGCAAAGGCGCTAGGCCTCCATCTTGCAAAGAGGTCTGCACCCTGCCGCAGTACGTCGACGAGTACGGTGGCCGCTTTGCAGAATTTGGGGTTGTCAAGGGTCAAGATCTGGCTTTAAGAGGCCTTGTTGGAACTGCACAGTTTTATGGTCTTGCACTCCAGAACACTCCAGAAGCCTACGCATGGCAAGCCAAGGCCCGCCGGAAACAGGTCGGCTAAGCTTGGTGTTTGGATCTTGCAAGAACGGTGTTGCTTGAGCGAGGTCTCGGCATCATGAACAAGGCCCGGGATCTCAAGGAATGTATCGCCAGGTGGCAGGAATGCGAGCGCAAGCCTGCGCCATGCCACATCGTCTTGATGCCGTGGTGTGTGGTGGCTGCCAACGCGATCAGAGTTCACATGTAGTACGTCCACGACAACCGGTCCAGGATGTCTACAGTATCCTGGCCGCCAACCACAAGGCCTGCGGGGTGATCGTAGCTAGACTTGTAATCCTCAGGTATAACCCTAATGAAGGTACTTATGAGCATACTTACTGAGTCCCCTGATCCTTTCAGTGGGGGTCTACTGAGTCTACTGAAAGCGTAGGGTGAGAGAACCAAAGCTCAGGGTTCGTGGAGGGCATGGGTCGCAGGGAACCCAGACGAATCCCGAGTTTAGAGAGCATGGCATCCTTTATTCTAGGACATAGGAGGCCAAAGAAAGCTATACCGTGCCCTGATACCCTCAAGTCTAAACCCAAGACATCTGCGCCCTGTGTCTGCCAGAGGTAGAGGATGGGGACCTGTGGGATTCCCTGGAGTGCCCTGGTCGATGAGAGATGCTCCGGTCTGCGGGGTTCAAGGAGGGTTAGGGGTTTAGGGTGTGTTCTTGCTTCCTGTGGTTCATTCATTCGGGTTCTGGTCATGTCACCTGCTCTTGTCATTTCCCTGCCGGCGTAGTGACCCGCATCAGGACCGACCCATTGGTTGTTTCAGATATGTTGCCAATTGTCGATATGCTCGATGCTTTGGACGTTGGCAGGTATAGCTCCTTGACAAGTCAGGGCGATGTCTTCGCCAAGCCCCTCGGAGCAAGCAACCCAAAGGATCTCTTTCCAGCAGTTGGGTTGGAATCTCAGTGCCGGTTCTGAGTTTCGGTGAAATTCGACCAACATCCGCTGACGGTCTTTACAAAGAGGAAGAATACTACAGCAAGCATTCTCGGAGGCTCCAAGTCTCTGCAGACCATGAGCTGCAGCTGAGGACAATGGCGAAGCTCAACCAGCACCGCGCGTTGGACGATGCCGGAGCCGGAGGCTTGCGGGGTCTTTTGAGGCAAAGGGTCTGTGGGGCTCAGGCTCTGGGCTGGAAAGTGAGCATGACATGAGCAGAACCGGCCCCTACCTCTTGCAGCTTTGCGGTACTGGAATCACATAAGGTTGGGGGTGTCATGAGTCATACTTGCTTGGAAGTTTCGCTGCTTTGAGAGCTCTCAACTCAAGACAACGGTTGGGGCCTTCGGAAAATTGGCATGGCATTGCAGGGCAGTCTGCGCAACTTGTGCAAGACTTGCTCAACTTGACGGTAAAGGTAGCACTCCCTCTTATACATTCTTACATCCGACTCTCAAAGGGAGACCCCCCGAAGAAGTACTTGTGGACTTGCGTTTTGCAGGAGAGGAGCCGCGCTGAACCACAGGCGCACGTCTCGCCTCCCTCCAGGAGAACTCTTAGGTTCCAAGTAGCTCTCTGCAGGGCTCGGCCCCCTCAAGCCGATCTCATCGTGGGGCACGTGGCCGCCGTCAGAACCACAACTAGCCACATTCACAGAATATCGCAGATGTCAGCACGGCCGGCATCATTCGGCCAGGGCATCGAAAAATCATGCAAACGTGTAGACATGGAAAGACATGGCTGAAGGCTTCCTCCCTGCACGTTTCACCCAAGGTTGGGGGCACCTGAGGTAGTCCCAAGAAGGCCGTGAGTCGGACTTGGACTTATATCAGCAGACATGACCGGGTTCATGCATACGTACTCAACCAGGGTTGAAGCCTTGTTTCAGGGCTGCGAAATCAGGGCCTGAAGTTGTCGAAGTCTAAGGCGAAGCATGCAAAACCGGAGGGTGACCTAGCTGCATGGGCTGCGCCACGTAGCTTCACAGACGTCTGTAACTCCGGACATCTGTGCCACTCACGGCCTTTATCCTGCCGGCCGTACGGAAGCTCGAACTGCCATGCGGAAAAAAGCCCGGGGGAGCAGGCTTGGTAGCTGTGCAGTGCTTGCCTAGCAGACATTGACATGATGCGCAGGAGGTGATTGACTGCATGTGCTGACCCGATGAACCTGGTACAGAGGTCAATTTCATGCTAAAGCTGCGCGCCAGGGAAGGATTTAGTTATGCTGGAGCCTCGGTGCTGCTTCAGTAGTCTCTGTCCGATCATGTTCGATCAAAGCTGCACCTTCGATCGAAGCTGCGCCTTCGCTGAAAAGCCAATCCTTCGCAGTGCTGCCTGTGCAGTGTCAGAGCTTCGTAGAGTCTTGAAGCAGTGATGCCTAGATTTCGCACCAGATCGTGAGATCTTCGCATCGTAGGAGCCCACACGTCCCCGGTGAGTTCAGGCGCAAGTCAAGGAATTCAAGGAGGTGTTCGACAAGTTCGATGACAACGGCAATGCAGAGGTGCACGGCCGCCGACGGAGCACGGGTAGAGGTAGAATAAAGAGAGCATGGCATCAGCAATGACTCGACGCGCTCTTAAGACTTATAAAGGTCCAAACCTACCCTTCCAAACAATCAGAAGGTTTTAGTTGAGATGGTCTGCAGATGCAACGTCACAGAGGAACGCTTTGCACCGCAGCCTTGGCGGTGCAAGCCCAAACTCCGACATCTAAAGGGCTCTTGAAAGGCTCGCTTCAGCTAGATTCCCGCTTGAACCTGGATGTTGCGAGCAAGTCTTGCTTGGCAGCCCAGTAGTGACCTCAGCAAGCCGAGGGAGCCCCCAAGAGCAAAACCACGCCGAAATTCGATCTGCTGCTTGCTGTTGCAAGTTTCAGGTGGAGGTCCTGGAGCTGGCAGACATGATGAGGCCTCCCGCTGAGGATGAGGGGGAGACTGGCCTTTGCATGCGAAGACTTCCGTGCACAGAGGAGTGCAGAGAGGCGGCGGGCCGATGTGTATGTGGGTGTTTAACTGGCTAGAGCCGGACATATGGGAAGGCCTCAGCAAAGGTTGCAGACAGTGTTGCAGTTACATATCCACCATGAAGTTAGCACGAAAATTCCAGAGTCTAGAGCCTAGAACGCATGACATGTAGGCTCTCCCCTAACGAAGTTCGCGCACAGCTTTGTCCCAAGCCCGTGAAAGCCATGAAATGGAAGGCACTTGGGCCACATCGTTAAACTGGACGAGCTCCAAGTGCTGATCAGCCAGGCATCGTCACAAGGGCAAAGTTCTGGGGATGTACTGCCATCGGTAGTCGGGTTTTCAAAGTGTTCCTCGATGCAGCCTTGGATCACAGCACGGATCGTAAGACCTTGCGTGGAAGGGGAGACCTTCAAATCTCCTAGTCTTCCATCGATGACGCGTCGGGCTGCCCAAGCACCTCAAGGTCTGGTGGATGCGCCCGTATGAGTTCGCACGCGTGGCAGAAAAGCAAAAGGTGGAGTCTGGCAGGAAAGCTGTGGCCTGTTGCTATCGCGGCTCTCAGCTCGCGAGGGCTTCGCCGACTGGTGCTAGCGGCTTCTGCCTTCAGTGACATCCTAGAAGATGCAGGCGAGACAGCCGCAGCCTACGGCGGACATCCGCTTGCCCAACTTACTCCAGCAAGGAGGGGGCAAGTGCTGCAAGATGTGGTGCAGTCTGTTCTGCGCAGATGCTACCGAAGTGAAGTGGCAATGCCACTGCCTAGGTTGAATGCCCGTGGGGTTGCATGTGGGTCACATCAGGCAGAGTATGACTTCAGTCTGAGTGGTAGGCGAGTCGAATGCAAGAGCGCACAGCTCTACTGGTGCCGCGGCAATGCCCGGTGGCAGGCACAGTTTCGCCACATCAAGTTGCATCGAAATCAGTTCGACGACCTATACCTTGCCTTGTATACTCCCAGCGACCTCCTGATCCTCCAGCACGACCTGTATACCCTGGTGCACAGTCAGGGGAAGTTGGATGTTGAACGAGGTGTCGGTATTCGCGTCGGGGGTCCAAAGCACGAGAGATCTTGGAGTGTAGCCGCCTGTCATATCAGGGAGCGCTTCTTGAATCCACCCAGCAACTGTCGATTTGTAGCCCGACTCGATGCAAATGGCCCTGAGATCACCGAAGGCTTATCAGGTGTGCGGGAATCCTTTGCTTTGCAGCTTAGTCACCATGCTTTTGACGGAACGCCGCTTCAACACGCTAGCCCCACGGTGCGAGGCTTGCGCGTTGAAGCCTTGGCTTTCGAAATCGACAAGATGTTAAACGCTCCGGCGCGCTTTCGCAGAAGCTTCAGTGAGAAGACAGCGGCTAGTTGCTTGAAGGGGCTGCCGGCATCTAGTTGCGATTGGCTCAGGAATGATATCCGAGTCGAAGTGAAGCACAGCAGGCTCCAGTTCGACGAGTCTCGCGGACGTTGGCTATGCAGCTTCAGCGGCCTCAAGACGGCTTCTGCAATATCTGGGGCAGCACAAATGTTTGACGAGCTGTGGCTGGCAGTGTTTAGCCCCATTGGATTGCACTTCTTGAAATGCAGCGGGATGTTCGGGGCGACCTTGGCACGTAGGTCTGAAGGAACACGCTTCTACGTTCATGGCCCGGCTCATGAGCCCGATGTACACTCAGCCTTGCAGCATATTCTCGACAAGATGACGAAGGGCGGCTGTTGCCTCATTGCGACTGTTCTTTTCGACCGACACTTCCCTTGACTTGGCCACACCACCGGACAATTCAGCTCTTCACGGAGTTGACGCACCGTTTGCAGGAGCTTGGGAAGTGTTGGGTAGGTGACGACGCGAAAGTTGTGCTTATCATGCAACTTGCATAGCAGGGGCGATCCAATACTACCACTAGGAATAGCTATACAGGATTTCCCCGTCCCAACTCCCGAATGCCATTTCGTTCTGCCAATGAATCACTTCCCCAGAGTATTAAGTCCTCTGATATTCAAAAATTGCTCGGTGGGCGCTGTTGCGGTTCCGCGAGGAGTAATTGCAAGTGCAGCAAATCCACTGTGGGTATTCACTCTGTAGGTGTGTTTGAATATTGTAGCCTTCGTTGTCTTCCATGTCTTCCTGGAGTTTTAAGGCGAGGCAGCACAGAGCTCTCTGTCTCCTTCAGTCGTTCGTGCTTTGCCTGAACCTCTAGCAGGGGACAGCACGACCACCCAGACAACGGTGCTGTACTAGTTTTCGTGGAAACATATCACTAACTAATTTGCTAGTGATAATAACAGGGAAACCGGCACTTTCTCTTTTTCACTCTCTTGCTCTCACTGTCTTACTTTCGGGCGTGGGCAGCAGGAGCGAGGTGCTGAGAGGTTGGCACACATCCGAAACCCTATGACCTATAATTTCGAAAGTACGTGTGTCTTCCCTTCCCAAAGCCGGCAGGGACTGTCTCGGAATTGCATCCTGCAGACAGCAACGAGCTCGTAGCACTGTAGGGTGACGGCAGGCTGCAGGAGCCACAACAACGTAGAATTGCAAGGGTGGTGGATTGTGACCCGACCCCTAGAGCCACTGAAGCTTAAACGTTCCAGACCGATTTAAATCAGAATTTAAATATGTCGGGGAGAAGGGGGGAAGGACTTTTTGTATACTACGGGGCAGTGAATACGCAATAGCTTCGGCCTCAAGCCTCAATCCTAGGTTGACTGGCAGCTTGTGCAGTGCTAGAAGTTTTCACCCTTAAGTTGGCCAAGTTGCAGGTGGACTTCAATGGATCCGGTGCTTTAGAGTTCCAGGAGTTCTTGCGGCTCATGCCTGGGACTCGACTTTTCTCGATTTCCACCCAGTTGTATGGGTTCTTTCCATGAAGGAAGGGACCTGGTCCGGGATTTCAATGATCCCCGATCCTTCAAGCCTCAAGAATTGCGATGAGGGACGGATGCCGCCTCATCCGTTTCATCTGCTTCACTCGGCCCCTGAGGCGCATCCACCGGGAGGACGAAGTGAACACGCACCTCAGCTGGCAGCGAGGGGGCTGTGCCGCCTATACAGTTTCGGAAACGAGCGGCTTTGTTGGCACACATAAAGCACAAGAAACTTGCTCGGATAGTTCAAGTTCAAGCTCCACTCTTGAAGCACCAGGATTTACAAGGTGTACAAGGAGTTTGAAGAAGAGTCGCCAGCGGCCCAGGGGAGTCTGCCTGCCGAGCGACAGCATGAAAGGGAGTGCAGCGACTTCCTGTGAATATGTCACCGATGGACCTCGCTTGCTTTCGGGGACGGGAAGCCACCTAGACACAGATTGAAAAAGGGGTCTGTTGTCAAGCGTAAACATGCTGTTTTTCCCGCTCCGAGGATTCAGGCCATGCCAAAGGCTGGTCATTCGAGGGAGAGATGCCTCAGGGTCACTTGGGGTCGGGTTTCCGCTGTTGGACCGGGATGCTCGCTTGAAAGGGCTGGGGTGAGTATTGCCGTTGACAAGTGCAGTTGTAAGTAAGCCTGAGTTCGACTCGTGTCCAGTAAAAGGTCTTAAATGCATGGTGAGATTTGCCATGCATGGCAGGCCCGCTATGCTGTAGCACGAAGTCTGTGCAAAAAAGCATGAGTCACCTATGTGCCCCTTGATAACACCACCGGAGACTTCCGAACACGAAGCTGCCTCGGCTGGTCAGTCGGAGCTCTCCGCGGCAATGAAAGCCCTGGGCTACTCAGGCATAGAAGCTGCTGGCGGAATTTTCGCTTTTCAGCATAAGGGATCACTGTCTTCGCAGCTGCCAGGTAAGCTCGGGAAAGAGACATTTCATTGGCCGTGGCACGACATCGTGCTAGATGACAACTCTCAACAATGAACGTTCAGATGCGAGTTGGTGTCACAGGCCTGTCGGCTTTCAGGCTCAAGCAATGAGTTCTTCGGTTCAGATGCAGTAGGAGTAGCTCGAATCAGCTTATGGGTGCACCATTCACCCAGACACCCCGATAATCTGATGAGACTTGGGTTCTTGTGACACAACCGCCGGTCCATCAAGTCCGGACCTCTGAACACGAAGCAGAAGGCGGTAGACGGAGAGCTTTGAACTCTACACCAGGCAGAGAAGAGACCTGGCTTTTCAGCTGAATGAATTACCCATGCATGCCAGTACGGTATAGCCTTGGCCTTGAGTCGGGACCAGCTCATGTCCTCATGCGGCCTTGCTGGCGGTTGGCTTCCCTTTTGCTGCTGACAGCATGGCGAGGCATCATTTCATTGCAGAATTACAGGGTCATGGGTTTGGGACGGGGTGAGGGGACGATGGTTGCGAGAAAACGCCTACTCTTGCTACAGACCGCAGAATTGCCCAAGATGGGATTCACTATATATATATATATATTTATTTATTTATTTTTATTTTTTCATATTCACTATATATATATATATCTATCGGTCTTCAAGGTCAGGGATCCTGGCCGCTGCGGAAACACGGGCATCGCTTGGATTGTGCGTGGGGAGAGACTGTTGATGTGACTGTAGACGTGCCCTTCAAACCGCAGGGCGCAGTCAACATGCGAATGTTCGCAAAAGGCACTTCCTGACCCGACGGCAGCTGGCCACGACGAACTTCGTAATTGAGAGACTTAAGATCCGACTCGCCATAGCAGGCGAGTAGGCATCCGCATAGTGATCGCGCTGCATTGAAGTGCTGGTTCTGGAGGCGGCGGGGCGCAGACGGAAACTGCCGAAATCAGCTCCGAGCTGTGCAACAGTTCGTCGCTCAGCGGAAATTGATGCAGAAGGCTGGTACTTGGTATTAAAGAGTCAGAAGAAAGAGGATGGCTCTTGTCCTTGGAGTGGTGCGGCGCAGATGCTCTCCACACCACGCAGCGTCTGAAGGTAAGATCTAGATTTACCCTTCACGGAAATGGAAACGTCGCACCCTGCCTAGGGTTGATTGGCGAGCCTCGAAGTCTGAAATTTGAAGCCAAGGAGTTCTACAGAGAGGCAAGAGAAGTGGGAGGCTCTGGTGGCATGGATTCATGCCCGAGGCACGAAGATTCTGCTAAAGACTTCGGGGAGTATCCCGGGGCTTCAATTCTGAGAGTTTCGGATTTATAGGGTTTTTGGGGTTTAGGGTTTACGGATTCTGATCATGTTTTTAGGAGATTCCGGCCGTGAGAGAATCGCCGTTTTCCAGGTGGCTATGTTCATACCAACCTCGAGCTGACAGATGTACATCACGGCGGCATGCGCGTGACCGGACTTGCCACAAGCCAGGGCCCCAGTCCCCTTCTTGTGCAACTTCGAGATCTGGGAGTTTCTTGGTTTGGGGTCCTTATAAAAGGATCCTCCTTTTTAAATGTAGGGTGCTATATTCGGGTCCCCTATTCTCGGAAACCCCCATTAAACTCGTAGGACTTTGGGCGGTGCAGTGTAATTATCACCGAGCTATGCACGACGGGCAGATCACGGAACAGAGTAGCAGTAGCATGATCCAGGCCTTTGGTCCCATGGCTTCCACCGCCTGTCCTAGCACTTCCTCTGAAATTTCCTTGACATTACCCGCGCATGTCAGACCGGCAGCCAGTTTCCTGCGCCGACCGAGACCTTAGGTGCACCTATTCCGGAGAATACGATAGTGATGGAGCTGCCTCCCGAGACGCTCTTGAACCTGACTCCTTGCTACATGTTAGAAGATTGCCTGTTCTGTTTTTTTTTTTTTTTTGCGATGCTGTTCAACAACTACATTAATTACAAGCCCACTCTGGATCAGGAAGCTTCTTTCCGCAATGCCAGAGGACCCCGGGTTTGCTGGCATGTCTGACTGTCAGTTCTGATTGAGTTCCGATCACATGAAGCCAGAGACAGGCAAGCCAGTCACACTTCTTCCGTAGACTCGGTGATGCCCGGTAGCTCTGTATTAGGCATGTTGATGCATGTCCGTCGTCTTAAGACCCCTGATCACTGTAGCTGTGCTTGTCGCGAAGTACTCAGCTTTTGCTGGGGCGATGCCAAATTGCCCCTCAGCGGCAGACATCAGCAGAACAAGCACGACAAACTAGAAGTTATTCCTCTTAAGCATGTTTTGCCAGAGTCCAGGTGTCCTAAATTTCTTCCGGGCTGTTTCCAAGAACAGCAGAGGCACCCTCACCCGCGGCCTCCAGCGCTCTTTGCGTCAGCTGAAGGCGTCCTTGCACGCAGGGTGCAGGCTCTAGAAACTTTCAGGCTGGGGGTTTTGAGGGCGCAAAAAGTCTGAAGCAAGGTTTTGTGGCGCAGCGCCAGCATGCTTGGCATTATCAGATGGCACGAACTCAGCGTCAGGGTCCGGTTAGTTGTGAAGCCAGGCGATGATTCTGCTTGCGGTGGAGAGGTCGAAAGGCACTGCGGCTCAGGAAGGGTTCCGATGTTCTGTCTTAGAAATCGGACCTATTGGTTAGGGTTTCTTATGTAGCCATTGCTAATCGACCGAAACAATGGAAAAGACTGGGGCACACACCAGTACGTACTCAGATAGTAACAACATCTTGGACAGATGCCAGTCTCCTTCCAAGCAGCCAGGTACACCTTATAAACTTATACTGTTACACACCACATATCGAATTTAATTAGCATAGTTTAGAGTTTTCAGACAGCACTCCGTTCAGTGCAGGTCGTGAGTCAGACTTCTTCGCGTACTTCGATCTTCTGCCGTCGCGTGCGGAACAAGAGGAGAGCGATCTCTTCTTTGCAGGCCTCGGCCTACCTTGCCAGCACGTGTTGGAGGGCTCACTGATCCCTTCGCTGCCATGGAGCTGCTCCCACTCTGCCCCGGAAGGTGAATCTATCCTGGAGGACTTTGCCATGTTGCCCGTGGCGAAGTTGCATTCTTTGGAAGGGGCTTGGAAGGGGCGAGGCAATCGTTGGCAGGGGGTGTGACATGGCCTCCTTCCCCAGCTAGGTCGTCAATTTCTGGCGACGGATACAGAAGGATCAGTACCAGGAGTTGGCACCCGGCACGCAAGCAGCTGGTGGGTCAAAGTCATGCTCGATGAAGCAGCATAAGTCGCTTGCAGACTAGTCCTCGCAGGCCAGTCCGAATTGCCCGCCATAGAAGCTGATGCCGCATCAGTCAACATTCCAAGGAGAGCTGCTTCCACATATTGCGCGGCCTGCTCGATGGAGTGGAGGTGGAGTGGAAAGTGCCCTGGACGACGGGAGTTCAGACCTTGGGCTCGAAACTTGAATCTTCAGTCCATAGAGTTGTTGCAGATGAAAGTCGAGATGCCGAAAAATCAGCAGTTTCAGCAGCGAGCCTAAGTACGCAATGCTGGCTGCTCCATAACGCTACTCACTACTCCGAGTTTAGAAGGCTTGGGGATGCTTGCAATGAGTCTGGCACCCAAGGATGTGGAGGGCCTGCTTCGCATCCACGGGAGCCGTTGCTTGCCCGATTTTTGCGGAACTGCGGTGATCGCCTCGTAGCGCAGAGCAGGCTGGTCCTGATTGTTTCTTTTCTCGCTCTTCTGACACGAGAGTGTGGTGAGGGGGAGTGTCTCAGCTCAACCCTGAGGCCACTTCAATGCCAAGCCTGCTGACGTCGAGTTTCTGGCCCCAGCTGCAGACATGGCAGCTCGGCAGAGTTCGAGCAGTGCATGGCAGATCCTGGAAGCACTGGCACGCTGAGTTCAGTTCAATGTGTCTCCTGTCGGATAAAACCGTGTCAGTTATACCCTGTTATCATACCTCCGCGATGATGCAAACCAAGCAGGTAGGATAAAGGATCGAGCCCAGCCGAAAGCCTGTACATCACCCATGTATGTTCTTATAGGAGTCACCCAAATACATACCCCCAAGTCTCATCTCGCATGCGGCAACAGCACCCAGAGCAACCTCTAGGGCCTTGGGGGGTTCCCTCCGGCTCGAGGCCGCATTCAGATTCACAAACCTTGGCCTGGCAACTCTAAGCTTCGAGACTTCCCCTTACTGAATGAACATGTCAAGCACAAGCCCTGCGATGCCTTCGGCATTCCATGAGCGCCTTCTCGTAAGACAGGCCGCTGGTTTCGTCTAACATAGGGGCCTAAATTTGGGGGTTCCTTATAATTGTAGTATAATGGGCCCCAAAACCCTATTCTAATGATCAAGGCCCCTATAGTAGGACGGCCTCCCAGGTGAACACCGGCAGACCGGAGCAGCTGAACCTCAGCCCGGCACTGCTCATGTCAGGCCCGGATGCGCCGGAGGCGACGTTGAGGCCAAGTTGGATTTCGAGGGCATCGGGACTCAGGGCTCGGGGGTCAGGAGCTTGCCTTCTGGTTTCTTTATGAGCGGTTTGAGGCAGAAGGGCTCGGTGAGGTTTGGTGCTGTGAGTGGCAAGACGCTGGTGGGTTTGGAGCTCTTTCTGCTCTGAAAGCATTCTCCTGAAAGCATTCTCAAGCGCTGGCGACCCAGCGAGCGATGCGGTTGCAACGGTGTTGGTTTCAGGCCACTTCGGATGTAGGAGACCATCCATAACTTGAGCAATCGTCTTCCGCGAAAGGGGGACGTCGAGACTCCTGGACTTTAGATTCTTTAGATGGTCCTGGCAGCATCACCAAGCTGAGTACTATATGGTACTTCCATGCGCTTTCCAAAAGGGTCATCCATCGTTGCAGGAAAGAGAGCAACGAGAGGATGAGAAGTCGAATCCTGAGGCTTACCGCCTCGCGCTTTATCGCCCCGGGAGAAGAGCTGATTACCAGCTATTTCGACAGCTTGGACAACGAGGAGCCGCAACCGGGTGGGGCCACTAAGAGTTGCGACATCCTTGTTGCGACGCTTTGACACCTGTGTGCGGAAGGCATGCCATTCAGTCACGGAGTGGTGAAGTGATGCTTGCTGTGGCTGAATTACGCTTGGGTTGGGTAGTTATTCCGTCCTAGAGTCATGGAAGAGAAGACTCGTCCTGCAAGGGCTCTCCAGGGATTCGGTCAGCCTTCTCTCAGGGGTTGTGCCTTTTGACTTGGATCGTGCATGTCTTCCTGCCAGCAACGAAGCCCGCTGCATCCAAATCCGCCAGGATGTCCTTTTCAGGCACGGAGGGGCCGAAACGCGGTTGTGAACTTGTGGCATACAGCTGCAGCTCCAGGAAACCGATATGCAGTCGGTCTGTGATACCTTGGTATTGCTCCTACCACTCCTACCCAGCCCGGGTCTGCAAAAGCCTGGAAGGTGGAATATGTACTTGGAGGGGAACCCCGAGATACTGGATGCGAGTGATGTGTCTCGGGCCGAATAGCAGGAAGAGGCTGAGATTTTCGGGTTGTCCGCTGGACCCAGGGCCGGAAGAAGGCCTCTCGCTTGTGTTTTTCGCAGCTTCAGATCGCGGGCTCCTGTTTTTGAACAGCCTTGACTCCTTCACTGTATGGCTGGAGAACCAGATGAAAGGGCAGAAACTCGCGTAAATTTCAATGGTCAGTGCATGAGCTTCTTTCCTATATAGTAACAACCTGAAGCAGATGGGAACTGCAAGGGGTGCCAGGAAGATAGTCCGCACGGGGCATCTTTGTGTAGGGGTGATAAAGTTTATCTGTGGTTCTAGATTCTAGCGGTCCCTAGCAACAGGATGAATGTGGAAGAAGCAAAAGCACTCGATTGCTTGAACTGTTCGATACCGAAAGGCCGGGGACGGCGCTATCTGTAAAGCCCGCAGTGCAACATCGTGTCTGTTGTCGCCACTGCCATCCGCCACTCAGACGGCGGTGGAGGGGTTTCGCTAATGCTGCTCCATCCCGCTTGCAAAACCGCCAAAGGAGCCATGTTTCGACGAGCAGGACTCTCGGCAAGACCACGGCAAGCTTTCAGGTGGGGCTCCTTATATAAGCCTGAAGCCCTTTTTCCCGAGAGCGAGTCGAACTGCCACAACGGTGTGCTGGGAGTCGCAGTGGCAACATGGTGGTGATTACCCTGAGCTTAGCCCAGGCTCTGAAATTCTTATTCAGGAGCTGTTGAAATCGTGGATACCGTATACCCCATGCATGAAGGAGGGCTTGTTTGACAGGCTTGGCCAACAGCACCTTAACATGAAAATTTCGAGTAACAAGAACATGAAGACGATATGAGCCGTAATACAAGCCACGCAATACTGCAATTTAAGGCAGGGTGTTCCACTTCTTCGATTCGTTGACAGCACACATTGTGTGACTCGATCCGGCGAGTCATTGATCTTGTCTGCGGTGTTCCATTGGAGCCGTTGCCAACTACAAGTAGCTGGCTCATAATCGTGGTAGAGCATGCGCGAATCTGAGGGCACGTTGCCGTCGGCGGCGCTTTCGATGCTGGAGCCTGTGATGCAGGACTGGGAGGGTTGAGGGGGCTTGGGGCAGCGTGCGGCTCCCGGACACGAGTGGCGTCTGGGTTGCTAAGCCAAGAATCGATTCTTTCAAGCGCGAAGCGTGGGTTTGTGGGTCTGTACCGGGGCTGCAGATGAAGAGGTGGAAGGGGCCCATGTTATTCGACACCGTAGACCCTCAAACCTTCGAGCTGCATATCCCGAACACCAAGCAAACCACTTCTACTCACCAATGCTGCTCTGTCTATTCCGATTGCTCTTGCTATTGATCCCGAGCCTGAGGATTTCCCGGTGCCAAGGCAGTCATTGCTGGGGCGGCCTGGGGGCTGAAAAGGGATCCGGTGGTAGTCGGAAGATTCGACTAAAGTGAGGCCGGAGGTTTTAGGATGTGGGGCATATGGAAACCTCAAACCGTGAACTTCCAAGTTTCGATATCGTGCTTATGGATGTTAGGGTTCGGGTTTCAAGGTGGAACCGGTGTTTTTTTTTTTGTT